GAAAGCTAATTTATGGTGGACAGACCCATAGCAGCAGCAGAAATGAGGTTATAACATAGATCAGTTAGAAAAACTAGGAGGGATCGCATTAGAAATGAAAGTATAAGAGAGCAGCTGGAAGTACCTGAACTCAAAACCACATTGGAGAACAGACAACTTAAGTGGTTTGGACACGTCTACCGCATGAACAAGGATATGGATCCTTTTAAAATATTAGAGGCTTGACCTACTGAGAAGAGACCATGAGGGCGTTCGAGAGTTTCATATCAGGAGTTCATGCAGATGATTGGATGTAAAATAAGCAAATCCCTCAACCAAATGAAGCGGTTCAGCAAAGACCCAGAAGAATGGCTGCGGTGGATAGAAGCTCCTTAACCCTTGAAATGACATAGTGATAAAGATAAAGAAGAGACGGATATTGTCGTTAGTTTGCAATAGTTCTGTAAATGGCCTTTAGTAGGAGTGTGAATCACTACCTGTTCACAAAAGAATGATGATACTTGCTCCCTTAACTCAATATGAACCATAATTAAAACCCATCATCCTTAATAGATTATGAGCTATCACCGTTTTTATTTAAGGGAAGGACTTACAGTTAGAAACCAATTTAAATTATAGATAATCCTCACCTGAATACACAACTCTGGTCAGTCGCTTGAAAGCTGTTGCTTGATACAAGAAAATTTAATATTTAATATGGCGAAATTTGTCATTTCATTTAACGAGAAAACTGATGGCTGAAAATTTGATGAGATGTATAATATGTGCCCCTAAAAAAGAAAACATGTTGACTAACGGTCTACGTAGTTGCATTTCAAAAAATGACGGGTGCCATAGTCACTAATTTGTGTGGTGCATTTAACTAAAAGATTTACGCTTGAAACTGGGATCAAAATACTCAGCAAACCAATCTAAAATAGAATTTGAGATGACTGACGACGTAAGTTATTACAATTTTAAAACTGACCCGAATTTTTAATTTGGGTTGAAATCATTCAACGAAAAACCTTATGATAAAAAGGAGTCACGTTTGACAGATAAGACAATAATGAAGTGAAATTATACCAACTAACTGCTTAAATCGGTTGCAATTTAAAAACTGACGCCCCTAAATTTACTTAATTAGTGGAGTGTATGTAACTGAAGGACTTACGCCTAGGAATGGGCTCAAAATATGCTGCAAACCAATCTAAAACAGAATTCGAGATGACTGAAGAAGTTAGTTGTTACAATTTTTAAACTGACTTAGTTTTCAACAAAAACACTTATAGCAGAAAGGAGCCATGCTTGACAGATAAGACAATAATGAAGTGAAGTCATACCAACTGACCACTTAAACCATTCAATGACAAACCTTATGGCCAAAAATTATCTCATTCAATAGATTAGACAGAAATGAATCGAAACGATACCAACTCACCGCTTAAATCAGTTGCAATTTAAAAACTGACACCCACAAATTCGATTCGTGGGGTATACTTACCCGAAGAATATGCCAGTTAAACTGGACTAAAAATGTGAAGCTATTGACGTAAATCTGAATTCAAGATGACTGATTATTACGTCGTTCACCAAATTAACTAAAGTTTTAAACAAATGTTGATACTGTTCAACGAAAACCTATACCGTGACTGTTGATGCTTTCCGTAGGATATATTAAAATATAGCAAAACCATATAAACTGACTGCATGATAAATTTTGCCACCTCCCTTTACAAAAATAAATTTCAAAAATTTTGTGCATATTATTTATATGTCCTGATATTACTTTGAAACAGATTAACTACAATTAGTTAATTTAGTACAATGTGAAACTCGAGGATTATTTAAGTCACCAGATATTGGATCCACCCCCCCCCCCAGGAAGAACCCAGCAATTTTTTATTCATTTATGGTATATATGTTGGTATAGTTTAAAGCAGTGATCGAAACTTTTTAGAATATTGCATTTAAACAGTTGTTGTGAAACTTTATATGAAAAAAAGTTCTTAAAATAAAAGTTCAGGAACTTTTTATAGTAAATATTTAGGTTTCTTGTAAAACTTAAACTTTTCTTTATATTTTTTAATAATTTTATAATTATTTTTTATTATATTCATATTATTTATTTACTTATATTATAATTAATTGATTCTAATATGTAGTTTGTTAGAGTAGCTAAGAATAAAAATAATTTCCTGATCAACTATTTAGTGGAATCAACAAAAATTTTAAATATAAGTTTTTTTAAAAATAAGATTTCTATATAATCTTTTCTTAAAAAATTTCAATGGAAAAAGATCCAATTCCGAATGAACTGGAAAAAAATATTTGAAGGAAGTTAGTAGACTGTTCTACATATCATGGGTGATAAATATTCAGGATGCAGTCTTTTTTTAAAATTTGTTTTTTTTTGCCAACGTTTCAACCCAAACATGTGGGTCATCTTCAGGGCGTGGTTTGAGCACTGAGGTTGTTCATGTCAGGACAACCTCAATGATCAAACCACACCCTGAAGATGAGCCACATGTTTGGGTTGAAACGTTGGCAAAAATAAAAAAAATTTTAAAAAAAGACTGCGTCCTGAATATTTATCACCCATGGAAAAAAATATATATAATAAAGATTCTGGTTATACCAAAACTATTTAAACATAAAAGATAAAATATTATTTCAACTAAATATTATAAAATAAATATCATTTAAAATAGTCAAGTCTACACTTGAATACCTTCAGTGCTTGAAACACGCCCTGATGATGACCCACATGTTAGAGTTGAAACGTCGGCACCAATAAAAACTTTATAATGACTGTGTCCTAAATATTTATCACCCAAGAAGAAAAGTAAATTTTATTCTGGGACATTTAGTCTCCTAAGAATAATTATAATGAACAGAAAAGTGACATTTGTCTGGCATTATAAAAAAATTAATTAACATAATAATCTAACCTTAAAATTAAAATAACAAAGCCCAAGCAAACATATTAAATTGTAGATAAATATATATGAGTGTGCTCACATATTTTTATTGATTAGAAATATTGGTAATATATCAGTATCTGTAAGATAACAGTCAAATGAAGGTGACAGCTCTTAAATACGAAAATTTTATTCTTATATATATTTGAAAGGGGAGTATTTTTATTTTATTTTTTTATTTTTTATTATATATTTGGAAGATCGATTGTTGAGGAAGAATAAATGCCGTTTAAATCAGGTTAAGGAAGAGGATTCGCATATGGAGGTAGGTAAGGAATTCCAAAAAAAGTTAGCATTCAAAGGATCCTTGCATAACAAAGGATTTTTTTAAAGAAAATAGTTCTATGAGAGGGAATAAACAGGTTTGTGGGCTAGGATTTCATGTTAAATGAATGCACAGAGGAACAAGGAGTAAACATATCAAAAAGGTAAGATGAGGCTTTTTGGTTTTAAAGGTTTAGAAAAGGAATACACCTAGGAAATATTGCTGCCAGAAAACTGGATAGAGACACTTTAACTTGGCATACCAACTGAAGATACGGGAGACTGTAAAGATGACTGTGGACACCAAAGATGAATCTTATGAAACAATTCATTAATCTCATCAATCTGATCTCAAGCCTATTAGACAATCCACCGTATACAAAGCAGCCATAATCGTAGTGAGGAAAGATGATTGAAGAAACAAGGAGCTGGCAGATTTTTAAAGGCATATAATCACGGAATCTCAGGAACTGTTTTAGGATAGCAATAGATTTTGATAATTTGAGAAATATGATTATTCCAGGACAGGATTACTGTATTAAATTTTTATAAACTGGATGAAACTAGTATATTAAATGTTGCTTTGTTAGTATATAGGCATACGTTAAAAAAAAAAAAGTTATAACAAATGTATTATTATTTAAATTGTTTATGTATCTATTTTATGTACTTATCTTGTTTTATTTATATAGGCAAATCAACAAGTCTGTTGTTTCTTATAGAAATATTGATCATGTTTTAATCTAAGAATTTAACAGAAAAAAGGAAAATATTAATGTTCACTAAAATTTAGAAAATATGGATTCATGGATGTACATATTAACCAGTATTTTAATTAAAATTTAAACACTCATTTTAATGGGTTTATGAAGTATGTAAGAATAGGTATATTAAAAAAAAAAATGTAAATCCTATATCCTTACCCCACCTATATCCAACACATATCTATCCTGCAATAGCTTGTCCAGAATTCAAGATGTATTCAACACTAAAAAAAGGAAAAGCTCAAGGGACTTCACTGTTAAGGAGGGAGGAGGTTAAGGAATCAAATTATTAATCTTCAATTGCAGAGAAAGATAGTTGGGGTGATTAGTAAAAATAAATAATTATATTTATTATTATATTTGCCGACATTTTGGCCTCAAGTTCAGGCCTTCATCAGGGCTGTTTAATCTAAAAGCATGGAAAGATGCTTAATCTTTAATCTAATTAATCTTCAAATTAGTAAAATTATGAACTAAAGTGGTTGATTCTGAGTTACCCCTAGTTAAGGAGCGAACAACGCACCAAAATATTATGTCATAATATTATCTGCAAACAACGATGTCAATGTCACAAGGCGGAAGCTGACCCGGCATAACATAACAATATTTACAAGCTATTTCAATGCCAATGCTACTGAAGTCTCTACCTTCCCTAATATATACCTGCTCCCAACTTCTCATTTGATATATGTAGGACCACCTAGTGTGTCAGTTATGCCTATGAAGAAGAAGAAAAAGAAAGGTGATATGTTATAAAGGGCATGTGTTGTACTGGTTAGTCTATTTGTGATTTCCAGACACATGGATGGTGTTCCAGAATGCTCAACTCAAAATCATGATTTCTATTATTTATATGAATAATAAATATGAATTTTGATTAATCTATATAAATATATAGAACAATTACTTGTATATAACTAAAATGTTTTGGAACAAAAAAAGTTTTTGAGAAACTTTCAACTAACACATGCAACAACGAAAATGACAAAAGCATAGATAATAGAGTACATACATGGTTAACTTCTTCATCATCAGGACTAACAGCATCTCTACAATTTTTAGCACGTTCAATCATTTCCTTGTAAAATCCAAAGCAGTAAAAATCATTTTTAGATAAAAGTGGTTCCATTACATGCCATAAACATGCTCTCATAGCAGCTAACTGTACTGGGTCCCTAGCGCAAGTGAACTGAGGACAATGCGTCAGCACTGGGATGGAGAACAAAAGCATATAATCTGGTAAGATTCTGGGCAATTCTTCCATTGCTTTTTCTACTGAACCTGAAATAAGGTAAGAAACTTTTTACAACTTTTAATATTAAAAAACTGGATTTTGACAGTGTCAAGCATTATTAGGAATGAAGAATTAATTGGAGGAACACATCATGTGACATTTTATAAAAAAAAAAAATGAACTTTTAATAGGAAGAATATTTTTAATAATTCTTTCTATATAGTATCTTGTTTGATTTTCTATGCCTTATTAGATAATTTGAGTTTTTAGAAAACAAAATTTAGTAAAAAAATATTTAATTAATTAATTAAATTTTTCTCAAAATCGATTGTATTAGCAAACCATGTTCTTCCTCTTGACTCTTCAATTATGTTCTTAAAAATGCCATTTGGGTAAAATTCATAAAAAATAAATTAAATTAGGCATAAAGATATTTTATAATTTCACATATATATATTATGACACCAGGATGCTTAATTTATATCTGCATACAATGAAATGTGAGCGAGAGGTGAAATCAAACCCTTGGGATAGGGATATCACATGGGTGAAGGCAGGTGATTGGCAATTACATAATTGTTATTACAATTCAATATTGATATCTACTCATCAGAACACACTGCATATAGGTTTGACATAACTTTAAATCAATCGTTTCTTCCTTAGAATATTGTTCACAAAATATCCTAATGATAGTTTAAGGGCCAGCTTAAATTTACTTTTGAACCAGAAGCGGTTGGATTGCAGATGTTAGTTCTATAGCCAAAGTCATTGCATATGAATGTTTTACCAAAAGAAGCTCCCAATATTCTCCTTAATGCTGATTAAACAAATCATTCATCTAGAGACCAATTTCCAAGAAATTTTATCAGATACTAATATTATTAAAGACCAATATACTGATTATATATATATATATCAGCATATCGACTTTCTGTTTCATACCACAGTGGTCTGTATGGTGGAGCTTGGAAAATTTCTCTTATGGCTGAATAAACATTTCAATTTATGCAGTAGAACTATTCTGAGAATTGATTGAATCCATTGTTCTAGATAGCATAAACATTACCTGCATTTTATTCCTAACTAAGATATATTTTTATTTTATTTTTTCCATTATGAAGAAGAAAAAATATAAGTTCTGGCAAATGGGTCCATCGGCCAATGAGGACAATAGTGATATTATATTTGTTGGCCGATCCTTAGTATAATTTATAAAGTTATAAAAATATTCATATTTTATAAAATACATAAAATAATTAGACAAACAAAAATTATGTTACTCCTGCATTATATTTTTTTCAATATTAGTAAAAGATTCTATACTCACAAAGATTTGATACTGAGAGTGACTTGGCATAATCCCTTCTCTTAGAAACACCAGTCCACATTTGCTGCCTTACCATTGTCCTCAGTTTCCTATTTTCTTCAAAGGCAGTGAGGCAATAGAATCCCATAAAATCCAAAGGGAGACCTTTATGGGGCAAACCACGACTTAAGCCTTTATGTAATTTGTTTAAAAACCTCTCTCTAACTTCAGGGGATTCGTCCTAGAAAGAAAATAAATAAATATATATATATATATATATATATATATATATATATATATATATATATGATGTATGATGATGAAATTTATAACCTTCTCCTTGATAACAATTTATCTAAGGGGGAAGAATGATTCATTTGCCACAACTCACAAAATTAAACAGTATCCAAGTGCCTCAGAAGTCATCATGACATCATCCTCTTTAGCAATGCCTATTAACTCCTTTCCTTTTGTTTTGTAGATTTATTAATTTTTAACAACATATATCACAATCAATAACAGCTCCATCCATTTTTTCTGAACAGTATAAAATCTAGGAGTTATCTTTGATCAGAACCTTTCCTGGAATAACCATATTTTCCAGATAACCCAAAAACCCATAACTGTCCTTAAACAACTGCTGAGATTCCGTGATTCTATTCCTCAAAAGAACAGACAGCACTTTGTAATCTCTCTTGTTTTTCCCCACTTCGACTACGGTTGCTTGGTGAATGGAGGGCTGTCTGAAAGACTGCAGGTGAAATTGTAGAGACTTATGAACTGTTTTATAAGATTCATCTTTGGAATTCTCATGGTTCACAGTGGTATACTGAGTTGAAGTGGCTCTACCCTACTTCCCGACGACGATTCCTTCTTGGCGTTTTCCTTTTCCAGGTCCTAAGAACCAAAAATCCTCCCTATATCACGATAAAACTCACTCTACATTCCTCTATCCACTAGAGATCCACTTGAGATACTAGATCTCAACCTATTGATTTATATATCTCTTCTCATAAAACTATATCCTTCAGCAAATCCTTCATCATTCATTCTACCTCCTTCTGGAATTCTTTACCTATCACCATAAGGAAATCCCCATCCTTAAATTCCTCGAAACAACTCTTATTCCACTACCTACTTCATTTTCAAACTTCCGTACCATATAATACTTATTGAATTCAGCAATTACAACTGCTCACTAACAATTAATTGACAAGTTCCATTTGATTTTATTTGATTTATTTACTTTTTCTTTATATAAATCGAAAGTATATAAAATGTAAATTGTTTGCTATTGTTGTTGTATTTGTATTTCATCAAACCAGACTAATGGACCAATGCTTTGTACCAAGTTATTATTATTCTTAGGGTACTTTAGTCCCAGAATAAAATTATTTTTTCATTTCATATCAATACCAAACTAAGTGTGCTTAAAGATATGTCTGCGCTGATATCATACTAGGACATGAAATTTAAAAAGAATACACACATTTATCCATTTCATTTGGTGGAAATAAGCCAGTGCTGCAAGTAAGTTCCATGCCAGCTGCTAAAGTGGGCCCTGCCTCCCTATTTGAAGATTTGTCAGTCAACTATCGACCAATTGCTGTTATGTCCATACCCCATTCAAAAGAGGATGATACTTTCATTTCATCTCATATAAAACAACTACATTTAGATCGCATCATTGAAGAGAGTGCTTCTTCTTGCAAGCACAGGTTTTAGTTTTTACAGGTAATCATAGAAAGCGAATGGTTGTGGACTACTCCCAAACCAAAAACAAATATACCTTGTTAGATGCACCGCTTTTGAAGCCAATTGCTGCACCGCCCACTGCAATCCACCTTAGAAGAGGTACTTCTCTCTCGAGCCACGCTCGCCACTGCCCCTTGGAGTTCGTTTAGAGTACGCTCATGGAAAATTTATACTTGGTCGCTGCATAGAGATAGAGTTACGAAAGAGTCTACGTAACCTTATGCAACTTTGTTATATATAAATTTTATTTTGGGACTCTGGAGAAGTTTGTTTTTGTTTCTATTTGTATTGTAATTTTGGGCCATTTAAATAGTTTCTTAATTTTTTTTTATTTCCACGATCAAGCATAGAAATATTTTATTAAATATTACACAATTGTTTTATTAGCATTACTCAGCTTGTCTTTATTTTCATTCTAGAGGTTTTATTTTATTTTATCTATTTAACAAGTTGTAATTGGCGTAGGGAGGTGGCGGTCCCATCGCCCGGTCATTGTACCGCAACCAGCCACTGGCCCTCCAGGTTGGGGGAACACTTACACGAACACTCACACACCAAGTACACTTTAGACAGCACACTACAACACCTAAGCACTACAGACAAAGGTCACCTACAGTACACACCCTAGGGTCACCTTCCCTAGGTAGCCGCCCCGGATGGGGGAGCTAGTCAGGATGCTCGGAGGAGGCAGCCCCTCTACCTGACTCGGGGGCAGTGGGCTGATAACCCACCCCCCCTAAAGTACCTTATTACGAAACCTCAAAGAGAAGAAGCCGGACTGAATTACGGTAACAGACCCAGGAAACGCCTAAATGACCTAAGAATTGGATTTTGGAACATTTTATCATTACATAGACTAGGAGCACTTCGTGCGCTCCTTGCAGAAGTAGCCACATACAGAATCGACATAGCAGCTATCCAAGAGGTCCGATGGATAGGACAGGGAATTATGGAGAAGAAGTACCATACACTCTACTATAGCTGCCATGAAAAGCATCACATCTTCGGCACCGGATTTGTTGTGAGAGGCAGAGCTCGACAGTTGGTGATGCGATTTACTCCCATTAACCAAAGGTTATGCTACATTCGGCTTAGAGGAAAATTTTTTAATTTCTCTCTAATCAACTGCCATGCCCCAACAGAGGTGTCACCTGAGGAGGATAAGGAAGCATTTTATGAAGAACTTGGACGCGTGACAGAAAGCTGCCCCAAAAATGATGTTAAAATCATTCTTGGTGACTTTAACGCACAAGTTGGTAAGGAGGTGGCACTCATGCCGACCATAGGAACCCACAGCTTGCATGAGACCAGTAATGATAATGGGCTACGGATGGTGAACTTTGCTACATTGCACGGACTGGTTGTTGGAACAACTCTTTTTCCTCGAAAGAATATCCACAAAGCAACATGGATCTCTCCAAATGGGCAAACAGCATCACAGATAGACCATGTACTCATTAGTGCCCGTCACAAGTCCAACATGATAAATGCAAGATCTTATAGAGGTGCAAATATGGACACGGATCACTATTTGAGCATTGCCGAGGTCAGATCACGAATTTCGCTGATTAAAAACCACTACCAACGACCAAAGAAGAAGATTGATGTGGTTAAACTTAAGGACTCAGACCACCAATATTCGTATCAACAAGCTGTGGAGACGAAACTTAATGAAGAAGTAATTAATGACAGCTCTATGGTCGATGAACAGTGGAAGAGATGCAGCAACGCAATGAAACAGGCAGCAGAAGAAGCTCTTGGCTACGAGACTAAATCTAGAAGGCCCCCATGGTTTGATGCTGAGTGCCTTCAAGCAGTAAAAGTGAAAAATGAAGCCTACAGAAAGAAGGTTCAGCGTCCCACAAGGCTCTCCCAAGAAACATATAGAAGAAAAAGACGCGAAGAGAAGAGATTATTCCGCGGAAAGAGAAGAGCTTGGGAAAATAAGAACATGGAGGACACAGAGGCATTGCGAGGCCAAAATGAAAGTCGCCTGTTCTTTCAGAGAATAAACGAGGGTAGGGCAGCTTTTAGGCCCAGAGTGACGGCATGCAAAGACACAAATGGAACTCTTTTAAGCCACAAAGATGACGTACTAAGGAGATGGGTACAACATTTCAAAGGCGCATTAAACAGAGGAACGGTGCCTGGAGAAGTAGGTGTAATGAAGGAAGACTCCCTGAATTCTATTGAACCCCCGGATGAGGAGGAAATGGAAAACGCCCTGAGGAAATTGAAAAATGGAAAGGCGCCAGGCCCGGACGGAATCCAGTCAGAGCTGTTGAAATGTGGAGGTGAAGAACTCAAGAAAGCTCTGCATGATTTAATGCTGACCATCTGGGAGAAGGAAGCTATGCCTACGGAATGGGCAACAGCCATTATCTGCCCAATACATAAGAAAGGAGATCAAACAGAATGCGCTAACTATCGAGGAATCTCACTCCTTTCGTGTGCTTATAAGCTGCTCTCTAACATTCTTTTTGAGAGGATCCTCCCGTATTCTGAAAAGGAACTGGGGAAATATCAGGCTGGATTTCGAAGAGGACGCTCAACGACTGATCAACTGTTCTCTCTGAGGATGATCCTAGAAAAGACTATGGAGCGTAAGGTAGTCACCCACCATTTATTCCTGGACTTTAAAGCAGCATACGACAGCGTTGATAGAACGCAACTATACTGTGCCTTGGAGGAGCTAAGCATCCCTCAGAAGCTCGTACGCCTAATCAAGATGACCATGGACAGCTCGAGATGCAGAATACGCGTCGGTTCTGACGACTCCGAAGAGTTTAAAGTGAGCAGTGGGGTTAGGCAAGGGGATGCCCTCGCCTGTCTATTGTTCAATTTGGCAGAGGAGAAAGCTGTAAGAGACTCCGGTATTCAGACCAAAGATATAATCTTCAATCGCCTGACACAGCTTCTTGGTTTTGCTGATGATATTGACATAGTAGGTAGGTCTGAACGGGCTCTCAGAGAAGCGTTTATAAGCCTTGAAGCAGCTGCAAGACCACTTGGTCTAGAAGTCAACGAGAGGAAAACTAAGTATATGAGAGTTGGCGGTGAGGTTGATCTGAACTCTCCATTTGAGGTAGGTTCTTTTAAGTTTGAGAGAGTGAAAAGTTTTATATACCTTGGGTCTGAAATCAATAGCAAGAATGACATGGCTCAAGAAATACAAAGAAGGATCACGGCTGCCAATAGATGTGTCTTTGGACTTGGCCGACACTTAAGAAGTAGGTACCTCTCAAAGAAGACCAAGCTGATCATATACAAGACCCTTGTTCGGCCTGTTTTGACATATGGCTCAGAGGCTTGGACGATGACCAAAAGGGATGAGATGAAGCTGAGTGTCTTTGAGCGAGGAGTCCTCAGAAGGATTTATGGTCCAGTAAAGGAGGGTGATGTCTGGAGGAAAAGAAAAAATAGGGAGCTCAGTTCTCTCTATGCAGACATCGACGTAGTCACGTATATTAAACTGGCCAGACTAAGGTGGGCAGGGCATGTGGCCAGAATGAGCACCCTTGAAATACCAAAAAAAATAATGATGGAGGAGCTGCACCTCGTAAGACGGGTAGGAAGGCCGAGGACGAGATGGTTGGACAACGTGGCCTATGATGCGAGAACCCTGCTTGGTGTGCGGAACTGGAGAGCTGCAGCAGAAGACAGAGCCAACTGGCGGAGGCTCTTGGAGGAGGCCCAGTCTCGGTGACGGGATGTTGTGCCATACATGAATGAATGAACAAGTTGTAAAATTGATTTCTTTTTGTTTTTATGTTTTCAGTATTAATTTATGTAAATGTTTCGAAATAAATGTTTCAAGATACAGTCCACTTTTTTTTTGTTAAATCACAATTAACTCAATTTTAATAATAGTTAGGCTTCATTCGAAGTTTCACCTAAGATAAGAGGGAGGTTAACACTGATCATGACAATAACTTAAATAGATTTTTGGAGGTGTACAGTACAATCTTACTATCAATGAAGAGAAATCTCATTTTAATCTCAAATCAATAAATATTCTAGGCTATCACATGGAACAATACTCTTCGACCTGATCCTCACAGACTCAAGCCACTCACAGACTTCCCTATCTCCAAGAACAAGATTTCCCTTCAACGAGCTTTGGGGATCATAATTATTGTACTCAGTTAAAGATTGGGTTATTTCACCTTTTTTTTCCTTTCTTTTTGATATAAAATATTTTATTATATTTAACTGTAATTAATTAAACAATTATATTAATTTGTAACATTATAATTATTCTTAATTCATATCAGATGATTGTATTTATTTCTAATTTATTCATGTTTATAGTGCAACTGTAAATTTTGTTTAAAAGATATTTTTCTATTATTATTTTCATGAAGAGAAATAGCTTTAATTTCTTTAAATTTTATTTAGCATGCATTGTTTAGATTATTTTTTTCCTCTTAATATACTGCATGATATTACTGCTATTCGGAATTTTACTTATATAACCTCATTAACTTAAATAGTAAGCGCCGCCGTCACAAGATGTATTTTATTTTATCATAACTAAGATATTTTGCTTATAAAATAAATTTAACGTTCCTTTTCTGTACCATTCATTTATTTATTTTTAATGTATTCTTTTTTTTTTTAATATCAAATATATCGGATAAATAGATAGAAAATATTTATTCTGGGACAAGGTCCCCTAATAATAAAAATAATATACAAATAAAAAAAACAAATCTAGCAAAAAACTGTATTAACTAAAATTCTAACAATATAATATATAGTAACTTCCATAACAATATGTTAATGACTAAAAGTAAAATCCTTCCAATAATAATTAAAATTGTAATGAAAAAAAAAAAAAAAAAAAAAAAACTAAACCTCAATAAAAGAAAAAATAAGTAAAGAAAAAGCATTGATTTTTTTACTTTCCTACCTATACTAGGTAAGGAAAAATTGCAATCGGGTCAAATTTCCGACGGATCTATACGTTTCACAGCCCCCTCAGTCCGAAAAAAACATTTTTAGCCATTGGTCTGTCTGTCTGTGTCAAGATTTTCTCGGGAACTACTGAAACGATTTTGTTGCTTCTTCTTTTATTTTGTAGAGTTTCGACTACTGATGGCTGTGACAGAAATTCATTGCTCCATGCCCAATAGCTTGCGCAATAAATGAAAAACATGTTTTTCTATAGACTGTAGCGCAAAAACACCTTTAACGATTTTGATGAAACTTTCCTATAATGTTCTAATCACTGTTCTTTCAACTTTCGTATATAAACTAAATTCCCCAAAAAATTCAGGAAAAAAAGTTATAACAAAAAGTAAAATGTTATGGGGCCTAACTCCTTAAGTATATATTATACGGTGAAATTTATAATAAAACTTTTGAAAGGTAATTAACTTACCAACAAAACAAAAAAAAAAAAATCATCGGAATCGAACCAGTATTAGCGATGATACAGCTTATTCTATTTTTTACACATTTTTATAACTTATTTTATTACTTTCCTACCTATACTAGGTAAGGAAAGTATTGCAATCGGGTCAAATTTCCGACATGCGGTTTTTGACGGATCTATACGTTTCACAGCCCCCTGAGTCCGAAAAAAACATTTTTAGCCATTGGTCTGTCTGTGCCAAGATTTTCTCAGGAACTACTGAACCGATTTTGTTGCTTCTTTTTTTATTTTGTAGGGTTTCGACTACTGATGGCTGTGACAGAAATTCATTGCTCCATGCGCAATAAATGAAAAACACGTTTTTCTATAGACTGTAGCGCAAAACAGCTCTTTTTTTTTTTTTGTTCTTCCCTACCTCGCCTTTTAGGCTATACGGGAAATTTTCCCGGGCCGGGGGGTGAGGGCGGGGAATTTAAAATCCCCTCCGGCACCGTGACGCGAACTCGTACTTTTTATATCATCTCAAATCTCTGTTATCCGGTTGCCAGGCAACTAGCGGTGCTGTTACACACGCTTTAGCCTATTCGGCCACCCCGCCCCCGCAAAAAAAAAAAAAAAAAAAAAAATCCCTCTTAGTAACTCGTGGTGTTCCTCAGGGATCTTCGCTCTCTCCAACTCTTTTCTTCTTCTACATTAATGACCTTCCTGATTCCATCCATCATTTACAATACCATTTATATGCGGAAGATCTCCAAATCTATTTTACCTTTTTAACGTTATAAGGAAAAGAAAAATGTTATGGGGCCTAACTCCCTAAGTATATATTATACGGTGAAATTTATAATAAAACTTTTGAAAGGTAATTAAATTCCCTACAAGGCCATATAAAAATCGTTCATTTTGGACAGTTATTAACGAAGTTACAGCGATTCAATTCCCAATGAAAGATTACGAGTTCATTTCCTGGTGTCAGAAAGGGGTGAATAAGAGAATAAAGATGACTAAGTGAAATTAAGAAATTCTGTTGCTTGCATCACACAACCCTCACTAATTCCTCTACTTTTAACAGAAATTATTGTTTGACAGTACTAAGCTATGGCAAAAAGTTTTTGATCAGCAATATTAGTGAGTATTGAATTTTTTACACTGATCTACCTTAAGCTGGTTTCATTGCCTTAATTTATAAAAAAAATCGTACTCAAATTTTTTGTTTGTTTAATTTTCAGGAAAATAAATTTAGTTTAATTCTTTTTTGTTTCTTCATGAACATATGTAAAGATATAAAAACTGTTCCGAAATAGGTAGGAAAGTCGTGTGAGTGGACACACCAGATGTTTTTTATGTTAAATCATGAATGGTGGGAACTACTATTTACTTTTTTAAAAAATTCCATTCATAAAATGTAATTTCACGATTGCAGAGCATCTTTGGGATGTAAGAAGGTATTGGAAAAAGAGGCATTTGAATGATGACAGGGATGTTAGATGGCAAGAAATTCCAGAAGGCAATGGAGCAGGCAACAAAAGATCGTTCTAAGGTTTATACATCACATAAATTTAAAAAGACCCCAAAACAGACAATGTAAGGTCATAATGGAGAAAGAGAAAGAGACAGGGATATTGAGTAGTAGTCAGCGGGTATTGAGGCCCACTAGGCTCGTAAAAGAGTTGAGATAGAAATATGCTGCATAGCATCATTCTGGGTGTAGAAGAATCATTGAGGATGCTACTGTCCTTCACTTTACAGTCTTTAACAGACCATAGTACAATCAACAGAATTAGTAATGAAGAGCTAAAATGAGTGGCTATAAAAAAAACTTGTATACTAGTGTTGCAGCCAACATATGTTAATATTAATTAATAATGAAAATAATATATTAGATTCCTTAATTATTTAGTTTCGTTGAATCGTAAGGAACAATTGAATTAGGACAGCTTGTGTTGGTGATGATGGGCAATCATGCTGCATCAACTGTGCTACTTTCTGACGAATGCCTAAACTATATATAATTTTTGGAAGAAAATCAGTCTTTGTCCACTCCCTAAAGCAGTCTCTATCTGTGCCTAACCAGCAGCACAACATAGTCTCTCAGTACCTGACTGGCGGCACCTCAACTTCTTCCTCCAAGACAACATATATACGAGGCAATCATTATTTATATTATGATCAATATGGTTTTATATTACAGCTAAATATGAAATTATCATTTAAAAAACCTAAAATTTACAAATAAAAAATCTGAGTTACAGATATCAACCTATATCTACTGGTAGTGGGAAATAGTTCGGCAAGTGGGCTTAGTGGCCCTTTATGTCAACAACTCCTGTTAGCTACAGTTATAGCTTTATATCAGATATATAAGTCATAGTTTTATATTATATATGAGTCAAATTGTCCCTATTTCTAATTTTACCACATCTAAAGATTATATTTTTGCCAAAATGTATTTAAAGTTATAAAAATAAAAATAATGCTATCCATCTAACTTTGATCTATTCTTAACATATAACGTACTTTATATAACAATTTATAATAAATCTATATTACATTGACAAGTCCTGATAGAGTGTAGAACTGATCAGCAAAATATTGGTCTCCAACTCCTTTCTGCTCACAGATTCTTAACATAGCACACCCAGCAGCAAGTCGAAGCCAAGCCATCTCTGCTTTACTACAGTAAATAAATTCCTTTTAAAAAATTATAATAATTATAAATATATAACTAAACATGTTCATAAAAACTAGAATAAAATAATTTAAAGAATGGTTACATATCTCAAAGATAACTATTGCCCTTAGAGGAGGCAGATTCCAGTATTTGACAATGCAAATACTTTTTCTCTCTCTCTCCTAAAGAAAAAAAAAAATTAATTTGACATACTCTGACACAGCTGTTCACTCTTATCATTCTTACTTTTTTTTTGCTCTCCTAAAAATAAAATATTATACACAAAATATGTATTATATTTTCTATAATATACCACAATTACTAAGAATGAAAGTAGGTAAATTGACCATCAATGTAGAAAAAATATTCAAATATTTAAACAGTTTATAGATTGTCCCATAGCCTTGTCATGAAAAGGGGAGTTGCCAAAGTTGTACCAAATGGTTGTAGAACTTTTTTTTTTTTTTTATTGTGTGGGAGGTGACTGATATACAAAATCCGAGTTTTTGACCTTAGCAGCCCCCTGGATCACTTTTTAACAACCCCAAAACTGCTAAATTTTTGCACTTTTATCAGTTTTGACCATCATGAAGGAGTACGTTTTCGAAAAAAAAAAACATTTTATATATAATTAAGCTAGATTAAATTTACAAAAACTCAAGACCAGAATAGACTCTGGTAAATCTAGTGATTTTCAAAATTTGGCAAATTTTACAAGCTTGAAAATTTTAAACAATAATAATTTTCATAGACAATTATATTAATATCTTCAATAACCTATCTGATACGAATCAGTGAAATCAACATTCATTGAATTCAACATTTGGAAGGGGGAGTGTAGGAGGGGAAAGGTTTGGCGGGAGAGAGAGAGAGAGAGAGAGAGAGAGAGAGAGAGAGAGAGAGAGAGAGAGAGAGAGAGTTCACTGTTTACAACCAGATGACAATACCAATTGAATACCAAATGAAATACTAATTTTATTGAACAAACATTTATATCAAGTGTAAATGAAAGTATAAACAAAATATGAATTAAAGGTGTTTCCTCTGACTCGAAGGACCTGGATCAAGCAAAGTCGCCAATCCACCTCTTTCATATTCATTGCCCTGGGCTTATTGAAATGGAATGAAAATATTCATTAGTAGGATATCCCAAGGAAACAATTTTGTCAAGAAGTCCTAATATAAAATTATATTATAATATATAATATGATATTAATTGATACTATGAAGGGGGCCGATTGGCAGATTTGCTTGGTCCTGGTCCTTCAAATTGCAGGAAACACCTTTAATTCACATTTGTTCATTGTGCTTTCATTCATTTTATTTACACTTTTTGTATATAACTGATGTAAATGTATGCCAAATAAATTTTAGATTCCAGTTTTGGGTGTTTGGTTGCGAACAATGAACTCACCCTCTCCCACTAAACCTTCCTACTCCTCCCAGATAACCCCTCCCCCATTCATAATGTTAAATTAAATAAATGTTTACTTCACTGAATTGTTTCTGACTCGTTATTGAAGATATAAAGGCAACTGGTGATGATGAAACATGAAAATTATTATACCTTAAAATTTTCAGGTATAGGAAATTTGCCATATTTTGAAAAACTGTAGTTCGAAAGCTATTAGGTTTACCACACCTGTTCTGGTCTTAAACTGTTATGGATTTAATGTAGTTTAAAAATGTAAACAATGTTTTTTTTTTTTTTTTAACAATATCGGGAGCGGGGTAGCTCAGTGGTAGGGCACTGAGCTTCCAATGCAAAGGTCCCGAGTTCGAACCCCGGCTCATGGCAGAAAATTTATTTATCTGTTTCATTGGCCGTGGGGCGACCTTGGGTCAGAAGTCCCTTCTGAGGCACACCCAGCCTCTATAAAGTGGGTACTCTTAATTAAATAATTAATTAAGGGGGAAAACCTGGCGGTTGAGCGTGATCTCGGTCAAATCACCTCCTTGCACAACCGTTGACCTAGAAACAGTGCTTTCCCTAAATAGTACTGAACCCCAGACCCTTCATGGGTTGTAGTGGTACAGGTTTTTTTTTTTTTAACAATATGCTCCTTGATGGTCAAAATGGGAAAAACAAAACAAAAAAATTGTGAAAATATAATAGTTTTGGGGATATTCAAAAGTGATCTGGGGTGTCGCCAAGGTCAAAATTCAGATTTTGCACCTCAGTCACATCACATACAAGAAAAAAAAAAAAAGAAACTTTCTACCATCACTTGATGCAACTTATAATGTACAAGATTATTATACTATAAATTTTAAATTCCCTGGACAGAAGATATCAAATTTCTGATCAACTCAGTATGACTGCTATTTCATAGACAAGACAAAATTTTTGTAAGATGCAACTTTTTGAGCTTATTGGTTTTAGAAACAGAGAACTTAATAAACAGTATATTTTTAACTAAAACAAAGTAAATATATCTAACCTAAGCTTTCCTGTCTGAAGTAAGTCCCCTTTTTTAGCAATAAATGCTGTAAGCATTCGAAAGGTTTTCTGTGCAGCTAGTTTATCATCTTTCAGACCAACTAACCATCTAGCCATTGCTTTCAGACCTTCTACCTATAACAATATTACAATACTTAATTATTTTACATGAAAAAGGAAACACAAAAACTAAACAAAAGTGGTATTTTTTAACACAAGTAAAATGATGATTAGATGGATCCTATTACAACCTATGAAAGCCAAGTGGGCAGACACTAGATAGTGAGCACGATTCTTAACCTTACAGCATTCATGAGATAGTTTAGTAGTAAGCATTGTGCTCAAACTGCCTAGTTTGACACCTGACTAATGTCAACTAACACAGTTCAAGGTCAAGAGTACTCAGAAGCATAGGTCAAACCATAGCTTACATACTGGAAAAGCTCACTAATTTTAGGACATGATGAAATATATAGGTCGTGCTCCAAACCAGGATTTGGATAGGAATTCAGTGCACTACCATCTAGGCTTCTTAATATCCCTAAAGTACCATAATTTTATAGAGCTGTGGTTCTAAGAAGCTGCACTATGATCCTACTCACACAGAAAATGAACTAGATTTAGCAACAATTTGAACTAATAAATGAAATTTGATATTAATAGAAGAAGAAAAGTAACTTTTACTCTGGGAATAAGTCCCTTTATATAATAACTATAATGTACAATTTAATGACAATTATCTAGCATTAGAAATAATTTGGAATAAATTAAATTACAAGGTTATCTAGATCTAAAATTAAAATAAAGAAAGGGCACTGGTAGACATGAAATTATAGATAAATTCAGATGTGCTAATATACGTATTTGTATAAATTAACAATGGGGATGATACATAATTATCAGTAGGATAACATTAAATGCGACTGACAGGTCTGAAGAACGTGAGCATTATTTTACACATACTCAGAAGATTGATTCCAGAGAAGATGGATAAATAAATTATGTTTAAATGAGGTTAAGGATGAAGATTTGCGAATGGAGATTGGTAGGGAATTCCAAAACAAGGTAGCACGTATGACAAAGGATTTTTTAACAGAAACAGTTCTATAAGAAGGAATAAACAGATTTGAAGGCTGGGATCTCGTGTTGAACGAATGAACAGAGGAACAAGGAATGAACAAGCCGAGAAGGTAAGAGGGATTTTTGGTTGAAAAGAAATTTGAAAAAGAAAAACACCTAGGAAGTATTCCCGTTGGAAGACTGGATAGAGCCACTTCAACTCGGCATAGCAACTGGAGACATGAGAGCGCCTGGGGACTCCAAAAATAAATATAATGAAAAAATTCAGTAGTCTCTTTAATCTAATCTCAAGCCCACCAGACATTCCATCACAAGGGGATAATAAGGAATGGAATTAATCAGATGCTTGAAACCAATGAGAATGGTTTTGATTTTCTCAACATTCAACTTTTAAATCATGGCTCACTGCCCATGTATTGATACTATCAATGTCTTGAAATGAAAATATATGTTATTATTCTGGAACTGTTGTCCCTTTAGAACAAATTATAAGTACAGAATGCATGTCTGTGTGGTCATAAATAAATAAAATATTTACAATAATAATTAATTAAATGTAAAAATACAGAAGAGAGAGAAAAAGAAAAGAAAAGAGTACATATATATATATATATATATATATATATATAAGACTAACAAAGGAAACTAAAATAACATAAATAGTCTCTGGGGTACTTAAATAGTTCTTCTGGAGATAGCCTAGTGCTAGGGTATCTATCAAATAAATGGAGGATATCCAATGTGCGATACATTCCAAAACCTGGAAAGGAATCTTATGAAGATCCCAAGGCAATTAGGCCAATATATCTCTCATCCTTCCTAATGAAGACATTGGAAAAGATACTAGGCTTATCAGGGAATACATATTGGCTAGGAGTCCAATACACTAAAAAAAATTTGCCTACCAACCAAAAAAATCCTGTGAGGTGGCACTTCGTAACTTGGCCATCAGAATAGAAAAATCCTTAGAACTTAGGGAAATCATGATAGGTTTCTTCGTTGATATCGAGGGTGCCTTTGATAGAACCTCGTATGACATCATTAATGATGCACTAAGGAAAACAGATGTGGTCTATGTCCCCAAGATGGATTGGGAGGATGCTGGGCACAAGATACTATGGATCAAACCTTGTGGTGGATGTCCACAGGGAGGTGTGCTCACCCCTTTACTGTGGTGTTTTGAGGCTGACTTTTTGTTGGAAGCCCTCAACACTGCAGGTATATATACACAAGGATATGCAGATGACATTGCTATTCTAATTGGAGGGAAGCATCAGAGTGTTCTCTCTGATTTCTTCAAAACAGTAACTAATATTCTGAGGAATTGGTGGAGAACTAATGGGCTGAGCATCAACGCAAAGAAAGTTAGCGTTTGCATCTTCGCTAGAAGAAAAAGGTGTTTATTAAAATGCCAGAGATTAATGGTATCCAATTGACACACAGCAAGAAAGTAAAACACCTTGGAGTCACAAATTGTCAGACAAATTATAACATCAGATCCAGAATTATTAAACAACAGTAAATGAATTGAATATTATAAACATATGTTGTATACATCCATGAAATATTTTTGTATTTCACTTCTTCTATCACACAAGCACAATGAAATAGTTGTTTAAACAATGTCATTGCCTTGATTAAGTGGATTTTAAATACTTTTTTTTTTAAACTTTTAAAAGTTTACATATAGTTAGTAAATTTCATTTAATTTCCTTGAAAAAACTTGATCCGTTAAATAATAATAGATTTCAAAAATTATTATTTATATTTTTTTCTAGACTCTCCATTACTTTCTATATTAGATATTGTTTTTTTTTCTAAAATTCTCCGATTTCCAATGATATATTATACGTATAGCTTCTGACTATTATTTCCGAAGATTCATTTTCGAGATTAATAAATATTTTTCCTGTTTTCTCCTTTATTCAATTATCAAACTCTTTCAAAACTTATAGTTAACCTTTTTTTTCATTATTTATATCAATCAGAATTAGTTAATAATTTAAAATAAACAAAATTACAGGTACTTTAGCGGAAGACTTGAACATTGGGTATTTAAGCCCTGTAAAGTGACATCAATGGGGACAAGATATAAATGATATTAAAGACCACTTAATTATACATTCATACACCGAGTTTAATAAAAATCATTAGAGCTGTTTTTGTGAAAATCTTATAAATGTGTTTAATCGATTCCATAAATTGCCACTTCCAGTTGGCCGATTTTGACAAAAAAAGTTGCTGTAACATTTCAAGCATATACAAACCTTAATATGCAATTTCACTTTCGTAAGACTTTTTGTTTTTAAGCTAGACTGATTACATACACACAGACCATTTTGCGGGACTTGGTTATTTGGACTCAGAGGACATCAATACGTGTATTTCCGTTGAAAACTCATGATTTGAAAATTATCACAATCGCAATTTTCCCTTTACTATATAGTACATATGTAGGTAAGTGAAAGTAAAAAAATACAACTTTCGTCTAGAGTTCCTAAAGCTATCTTACCTTGCATCGAGTTTCAAAAGGTAACTTATCTTCTGAACACCAAGATTCATCAAGAGGGAGTGGGGATTCTGTCTTTGTATTCTTTACAAGAAGTTCTTTCACAATCTGTTAAAAAAAAAAAATAAATAAATGATAAGACAGTAATGTTATCCTTACTAAGTTTATCAACTTAATGATTTCAATAAATATATGAATATGTTTTGCAACATTTTCAAGATTTTATTATGCCTATTATGATGCCATACAATGAAAAAAATATATAATGTTTTTAATTATTTCTAAACAATTACCACTAAAACTATAAACAGACAGAATATGAATGAAAAATGTTTTAGATATTATTAAATTAAGAGTGATATCCATAAGTTTGGTTGCCCACTAGAGATCTTCCACTGCTCTTATTTTGGGTGGTATTTATTTAGAAGTGATAATATAGTAAATTATTAATACCTTTTTCTTTTTTTTTTAATTCTGTAGACAACATAACCAAGACACCAACTGAGTATAATGAAAAATGAGTGAATTTAACAGAACTTAATAACTATCTTTCCATCCAGATTAAATTTGACCATAAAATTCAAAATCGAAAACGAAAAAGGGGGAAAATAAACAAGGTGGTGGCAAAAACATATTCATACCATTCTTAAAGATGGGTTAACTAAACAAGATAATTTACTAAAAAAATACAAATTAACACAAACATCCCTCCGAGGCGTCTGAAAAGAAGATGGCCTCGGGATCTTCTAATATAGAACTTTAATTTGAGTTCTACCAATGGGTAGTTTCTCTTCATATTTTACATGTCATGTTACCAATGTCACATTTACCTGTTGTATTTTTAATGTAATACAGTTGTAAATTTCAATAAAATTATAAATAAAAAAAAAAACACAAACACACATCGAGCAGGCTCATTACCATGCATGGGGAGCGCCCCAGGTGGCAGATGTGGGAATGGTCGTTGGAAATTCCTTGGAAGTTCCTCCTGGCTAAGTCCGATGGACTTGCTGACCAACAATGAGAGAGGCCCTCTAGACTTGCTGGAGGATGTGACGTAGGAGTGAACGCCCTACTCATATACCGTTAGTTCACCATACACAACAAATAGTCATGGATCTCCTTAAGGTTCTTCTTAGAAGAACATTCCCTAATCAACCCTCTCCAATCTGGCTTTCGCTCCAGACACTCAACACAATCTGCACTCCTAAAAATAACCCATGACCTCCAAAACTCCATCGAACACCAAAAACTTACTATTCTCATCCTCCTAGAGTTTTCCAAAGCATTTGACACAGTTGACTATAGCATTCTCCTTACTAAACTGCAAAATCTTCCTATATCCAACAGTGTCCTGCAATGGTTCAAATCCTTCCTTTCTGACCAATCCCAGTATGTGGTCGTCCCAGGTCCACCTCCTTCTAAAACACTTCCCCTCTCCTGTAGTGTGCCTCAAGTTTCCTCTCTATCTCCTACTCTGTTTGCTATTTATATTAATGACCTTCCCCTCCTGATCCATCACTCCCAATACCATATCTATGCAGATGATTTTTAAATATATCTGGTCCTTCCCGCCCACCGACCTATTATCAGCCACAGAAAAACTTGAAGAAGACCCGGTCTTCTGATTTATACATAAGGGCCCACCGAATCGCTGCTTTCGACAGATTGTTCATTATCCGGTTTCCTTGTTCATTCCGGTCCTCATCCCTATGGAACTCCATTCCTCCCCACATCCGTCATTCCAAAACCCTTCCTACCTTAAACCCCACCTGTTCAATCATTTCTTATCTATCCAGTCCTCATAAAATTGTAAAAAGTTACTACTGTAAATATGTATATAAATTATTAGATCGTTCTTCATTACTTTTATTTCATGTTTATTTTCAATTTTTTATTATTAACTGATTTAAATTAGTAAGTAATTTATAATTTCTTCTATTATTTTTTTATTTTGACTATTTAATTACTTTGTATTTTTGTTTATGTATCTTTAAGGCTTCTTAGCCCACATTTTTGACTTTCTGTATTATTCTAAAGGAACTCGTCGCAGAATAGATAAAGCATTATTATTATTAATTATAAACTTAAGCAAGGACCGATATATCAGCCTTATGACCTTATTTTATTGAAATCGGTAAAGTTTAACTATTTATTATTTATTTTTTATGGCCCTCCGCTTGCCCTAATTTTTTTTTTTTTTTTTGGGTCCTCCTCTTCCTTGCCGTTAAGGCTATACGGTTTTTTTCCGGGCCAGGGGGTGTGGGCGGACCTTGGCACTGGGACGCGAACTCATGACTATTTTTGTATCATTTATCATATATCAGGTTGCCGGGCAACGGATGTGCTGTGCACTACGCATTAGCCTATTCGGCCATCCCACCCCGATTGCCCTGATTTGAGCAAATACCAATATTCTAAAGACCTATATATCGCCCTCACGACTTTATTTTATCAAGATTTCAGCCTTTAGAAGTTTCCTCCAGCAATTGGATGTTTACAAAGATTGCAATGAAACAAACTGGATTATGTACCGTTTGAACAATGATCCTTCTCCTCGGAAAAATCCAATCAAGAAGGGAGAAGTTGACCTAACTTTTGACCGAGTGCATTGCAAGTTTTTTCTGTAAATACTATACAACCGTGAGCAGTTTTCAAATTAAGAAAAAAGGTAAAAAGTTGGAAATGACTGATATTCCAACATGTTCACGTGATGGGGAGCATGAGATACTTAAAAATGACTTTACCCAGAGTGAGGTAGTAGAGAAGCAATCTAAATCACGAAAATAAGAAAAAAAAACTGCTGGCTCAGATAACATACTACCTGAATTTCTAATCAACTGGGGTTCTGCTGCTATTAACGGCTTTTTTAAACTGAGTATGGCAATGTTACTTCCCTGATAGCTGGTGAAAGGCTGAAATCATACCCATTCTGAAGAAGGACAAACGTGCGTTAGCCCATCAAGTGATCCACCAATTGCACTTAAAGTGTCTTTTCTAAGGTAGTCAATTAAAGGCTCATACTTGGTTGCTTGCAACATTACTTAGATCATTATGGCCTTTTCCTTTCGAAGAGGAAGGTTTTAGTATGAACAGGAACACCACAGAGCAAGTTTTACATTTAACCCGAGAAATTAAGAATTGGTACCATCTTAAGCAGAGTATTCTTTCTGCTTTTGACAGAGTTTATAGGGAGCTACTAGTACAGAGACTCATAAGAGTGAGTTACCAGAATGAAACTTCATCTTTCAGACAAACCTGAAATGCTGTTAGACAGGATTCAGTTTGAGTCCAACCCTCTTCAACAAAATAATTGATGATGTGGTCCCTGCGGTATGCATGGTCCTAGAAGTTATCCGTGTTATACACAAATGATTTGGCTATTAGGGAAACTTCAAACAATATTCCTGCTCCTAAGTTAGTCTTACTTAAATGTACCACTAAGATGTCTCTCAGATTGGGCAATGCAAAATGAGATGGAGATAAATACAATAAAGACCGAGTACCAGCTTTTTACTCTTTCCATTAAGAGGCACTATGCTTTACTATCATTTAACAATAATATATTAAAGCAAGCAAACCGTGTGAAAAATCTAGGTATCAAGCTTGATTCATATCTAGCATGAAATGCACATGTAGAAAGTAGTATACCGAAAGGAGCCAAGAAGTTGGACCTGCTGAAAATAAATAACAGGGAGCCTCTTACAATGTACTTAGACTCATCTATATCCCAGTCAAATTAGACATGTTATCTTGCAAAAGGTCGGGTAATTCAAATTTCTTTTATAAAAAAGAATTGTTATTTGCTAAATAACAATATAATAAAAAAGAATTTATAATCGTTAGGTATGTAGTGAATATAAAAAATCCAAGTTTCCGGCCTTGAAAGCCTAGTGGGTTCATTGCAATGCTCCAAAAATCACAGAAATTTCGAACTTTTTTTTGGTTTATGCTAAATATTTCTTTTTTAGAGTAAAATAGATAAATAATGGTTATATTCAATCTTAAACAGCTCAAACCAACTTAACCCTTTTGTATATAACATTTTTTTCTAAACCCAACAGGAAACGAACTATCAAGCTTTCAAAATTTACCCATTTACATTTCTTCACAATAGTGCTCTTTCAATTTTGAACAGAAGAAATCTGTTCAAAAAATACATTCATAAGAGATATGTTCATATCTCTTTTGAATTGTATGTTGCTGTTTTCCTTCTGATTCTATTTACAGAAGGTCTGAGAAAAACAACTCCCACTTTACTACTTACAAAACCTCTTACCATTTCAACTTGTTCTCATTTAGTATTAAACCAAAAAATTTTTAATCAAGTTATAGTTCACCATTTATTTAACTGTTCAAAGTAGGTAAAATTAATTTTAAATAATTTGTACATACAATGTAAACAATATGTACAATGTTTCCTTTGTAAATGAATTAAATCAACATACATACATGATATTTTATTTGTAATTTTAGTGTTAATAATAATTATTGAATATATATATTTTTTAAAACCTGGTTTTCACTATAACATATGTATATAAACAACAACGTGCACATATGGACATGCCCCACACAATATTTATATTTTAAGGTCTAACCTTTCTAGAAACAATGTTCTTGATATGAACAGGAAACCGTTGAGGAAGATTCTGAGCTATATGGCCAAAAGCGACAATTGCCGTAAGATAGTTGCTTGTCTCAGGAGTTAGATTATTTCGAACTTTCTGGAAAAAAATAATAAACTTATAGAAATACATAAAGGAAAAAACAAAAATCCAGAGTAAACTAATCTCTAAACATTGGTGAAAGTTATGTTTGAGGAGGAAGATCTCACAAATTTTGAATTAGTGAATGCTGAGTAAATCTTCCAGTGTAAATACGAGGTTCACATTTTATGATAAACAATCAAGACAAAACCAAAGGTTAGTTTTAAAGATTTTTTTTATCATTCTTGATTCCACTATATTTGTAATTAGACATGACACTCTCTATCTACCAGGAATAAGAATTTAAAAGATTCTTCATTAAGGCAGGTAAATTATTCTTGAAATGTTTTTACTCGCTCAGTAATATTTTTTTTTTTCAGTAAGTTCCATAGAAAATGTAGATCTTTGGACGTGAGATGTGGTTTTCTTACAAATGTATACTGCTTTCGGGAGCACAGATAGCCTGGAGGGGGTCACCTAATCTCATATTGCTACGGACCATTGTCTCCATGATGCAAAGGCAGGCCCCCCATAGCTCCATATCTGATCTCTTTGGGGTCAATCTGGAAGTGTCCTTCCCAGCTACTCACTTGGGTTCAAGGACAAGATAAATCGATATAAATCCATGGGTTATGGATGCTCTGAGTTAGCAGGTGCAGGAGGGCCTACGTTTCTTTCCCTGCAACATACCATCCATGAATCAAAAGTTATATACTGACATACAGGAATATCATATCTCAAGTCCTAATTAAGGGACATGGGGTCATCATTCCTATGCCCAGTCTGTGTAAGTTGTCTCCAGTAGATTGATGGGCTACATGGACCAAGGGAATCCCAGTCAGCATGGCTTTCATTGGTGCACTGTCATCCATCTTTACTTATCATGCTCAACATTATGCCATGTCTCCTTATTTTTATATTGATAAAAGTAATTCTGTGCCTGTGGAGTTAGCTTGCTTGATACTACTGCCGGTTCCTAGCCCGGTTAAAATAGGAGAGTTGGTGAGTAGGATTGATAACCCACCCCCATAAAAGTCTTGTGTGTTAACAAAGTCTAGGATTGAACTAGACTAATTTGTGGCAACAGCCTGGCTAACAGAATCGGATTTACAAAATTGGAATATGAAACGTTAGAACAATCAATAGGTCTGGTTCACCGAATAAACTGAGAGCAGAGGCCAAGAAGGGTGGTCTAGATATAGTGACTGTGCAAGAGGTGAGATGGTCGGGCACAGGAAGAATTAAAGATTACCAATCGGTACAGCAAATATTAACATTTTAGGAATTCTCTTGTTACTAAGTCCAACAACTTTACAAGCCCATTTGATTCGCCGAGATAAAATTACCTTAATTATATTACCCGGATATAGTTCACACAATTCGGCGTTGTGTAACCGTCTGAACTCTCTGGTTAACTCATCCTTCTTCAGTCTGAATATTCTACGCAATCCTTTATTTTCAAAAACCTTAAGTCGCTGCTCATCCCTAAATGTAAGCGGCCAAGTTTCGCATCCATAAAGAACTGTAGGTAAGATAATTGTTTTATAGATTCTAATTTTTAAGTTTCGGGACAAGAGGCGCGAACTAAGTAGTTTTGTCACAGAAAAATAACAAGCATTTCCCGCCTTCAGTCTAACCTTAATCTCTTCTTCAATTTCGTTTTTTCTAGTTATCGTAGAACCTAGATACCTAAATTTATCTACCTGTTCAAACATATTACCATCTATATCGATATCACCAGTAGTATCGCCATTTTTGCAGCTAACCATATATTTTGTTTTATCCACGTTTATTTCGAGTCCTAGTTCTTTACCGGCTTTCATTAACGTTGTCGTATTTAGTTTTATAGTTTCAACGTCTTCGCTTAACAGTACCAGATCATCAGCATAGCCCAGCACGGATGTTGTCCCGCCCAGATCCAACCCTTTCTCGGTTCGCATTACCTCCCTAATGGCATGTTCTAATGCCAAATTGAACAGGACAGGCGAAAGAGAATCCCCCTGTTTTAAACCCGAACGAACCTCAAATTTTTCGGACAAATTATTACCGATTCTAACTTTATTGAGTGTCTCCGTCAAGCACATCCTGACTAGATTTACTAGTTTTTTTGGAATCCCCTGCTCGATTAGAATATTATACAGTTTCTGGCGGTCAATAGAATCGTAAGCCTTTTTAAAATCTATATACAGCTGGTGAACAATACCGTTATACTCCATTTTTTCTCTAATATTTGCCGTAAAGAAAATATTTGATCAATAGTCGAACGATTCCGTCTAAATCCGCATTGGTAGTCTCCGATAATTTCCTCGGCGTATTCCGTGATTCGACTGGTTAAGATTAAGTGAATATTTTATAACATACCGGAAGGAGTGAAATTCCTCGATAGTTATTACAATCCGTCCTCGGCCCTTTTTGTGAATCGGAATAAGAATAGATTCTTTCCATTCTTCAGGTAATTTCTCGTTCACCCAGATCTTTTTAACCAACCGATGTATTTTAGAAACTCCAGCTTCCCCGCATGCCTTAATTAGTTCAGTAGGAATATTATCGATTCCCGCTGCTTTATATGATTTTAATTTTCCGATAGCTACTTCAACTTCCTCTTTACTTGGTCCTTCTATTAACGGTTCAGCACTCTGGTACTCAGAAGGAGGACACAGATCATAATTTCCCGTATTTAAAATATTGTCAAAGTGGTCCTTAAACTTATTCAATATGTCAACCGGATCGGTCAGAATATTGTTATTATCATCCCTAATTCCAGACGTTACGGGCCCTACATATTTACGTGATCTGTTTATACCTTTGTACATGTCTCTTACGTTATTTTCGATTCTATTAGTTTCTATTTCAATTATTTTATTTTTAAGATACTCCCTTTTTTATTTTTGAGCAATTTTGTCGTTTCGTTCTTTGAGATTCGGAAGTATTCCAGATTGTCTTCGCTAGGATTATTTAGAGCTTTTAATTTAGCGGCTTTTCTTTTTTCGCACATGTTTAAGCAATCTTCATCAAACCACGGTTTGTTATTCTTATTTTCCTTTTTTCCTAGACACGAGTTACCGACCGCTTTAATATTATCCCTGATCTCTACCCATAACTTGTCAATATCCTCGTGGTCCTCGTCAGGAAGCTCTAAAGCTTCAAACCTATTCTTAACATCTAGCTCGAATTGGTTTCTAATTGATGGATTTTTTAATTTTTCCAAATTAAAATTCTCAAAATCGAAACGGTTTTCTTTTCTCTTTTTTATATTAAGTTTTTGTCGAAGTTTCGCGATTACTAATTCATGATCCGACCCACATTCTGCTCCGCGATAAGACCGTACATTAATTATACTGCTTTGCCAGCTGTGTTGTATCAAGACATGATCGATTTGATTTCGTGTTTGCGAATCCGGTGATGTCCAAGTATATTTATGAATATCCTTATGTTTAAACGTCGTACTTTTAATTATCAGGTTTTTCGAGATGGCAAAGTTTATCAGACGGATCCCATTATCATTACTATATTCGTGCAAACTTTCTTTACCAATCGTCGGAATATAAACTTCTTCCCTTCCTACCTTTGCGTTCGCGTCACCTACAATTATTTTCATGTAGTTTCGCGGTAGTTTATCATAAACCCATTCGAGTTTATCGTAAAATTCACTTTTGACTTCATCGTCACTGTCTTCGGTCGGACAATGTATGTTTATTAATGCGATTTTAAACCAACGTCCCTGAAACTGTAGCTACCGAAATTCTATCACTAAAGAATTGTACGTCCCTTAAAGCGGATAGCAATCTATTCCTAATTAGAAACCCGATACGTAAACAATGATTCCCGCTTCCTCCGTATCAAATAGTGTACTTTCTTTCCCTCATCAATCCCTCCCCTGGCCAGCGAACCTCTTGCAGAGCCACGACATCCAAATTGTACCCATTAACCTCTTAAATTGTTATTTATATTTCTTAATTTAATAATAAGAAATATAAATAACAAGAAAAATTTTATTTTACAACATTCAACATATTTTACAATTCATTTTATTTATTTATTTTGGAAGGCAAAATAGCTTAATGCTATTTAAAATAGCGAGGAACGGGTCCTCTTCTCTGTGAGCGCGCCGCCACAAAAATTCACATAAATATGAATTGAGGTGTTGCCTCGCAGTTCCTTATTTCTCCACTTAGCTGAGCCCTATAAACGTTCTATATGTTGAGTATGGACCCCAGTCGATGGATCAATGAAGTTATAACAGTTATTCACCTGGAAATGATTGTAGTTTGCTTAATTCAGTTGTTGGGTGTTGTATCCTTTCCAACAGTCTGAATAAATGGTGCTTCCCTCTTCTACATACATTCTAATAAAGTTCTCTGCACAAACTCTGCCAAACATCCATTGTTCAGGGAGAACTCTCCCTACATGATTTTTTTGTTTAGAAAAAAGATTCTCATATATCTTCTGTTCATTTTTCCTACTTTTGGTGTCTTGAAGTTTTTTTTTATTTGTTACAATAAATTAGGCCATTTTTCAATGGCCATTTTATTTCACCAACATTTTATTATTACCCATCAATTTAATAAAATATTGGTGCGCGTAATAATAAAATGTTGGTGAAAAATGGCCTAATTTATTGTAACAAATAATAAAAAAGACTCTCATATACTTTAAGCACTTTCCCAGGCCCTCCAATTTTATTTGTTCAACTGTATAACATGTTATGGGCGCAAACCTCTCTTAAAAATTTGTTCCACATTATAATACATTTTTTCGATAGTTTCAATTGCTTTTTGCCCAACTTTATTGCTGTCAAATTATGAGATCACCCATAAATAAATTTTTAAGCGGTTGAAAAGGTAATCTTCGACCCCTCTAACTACATCCCTTTCCTTATTGATACCTTTTTCTTACAACTCTTAGGAAAGCATCTCCATTTCGTCTTCCCGCCGAACTTCATTTCATGACCTTCATCACAATATTTCACCATCGCAATTATCCCTGCATCTTGAAAATATTTGATAGCCTCTTCTTCTGAAGACGACAATTCCCACAATGTAATTACATCCATTTTAATAACGCACAATGAATAAACACACATGCAACAGCTCACATTATATAAAAAGGGAAGGGAGGTTTAACAGAGCCCGCATCGGTCACAAGTACCTATTTCTAATCACTAGCAAACTTGAACAAGCAATACTCAACTACAGGCCCCCAAGTAAATGTCTAAAGAGTTAGAGGACAATTCTGCAATATCATCATTTTGAATACACATACACCGACAGAGAAGAAAGATCCAGAGATAAAGGATGCCTACTGATCTGGAGTAGGATTATGATAGAATACCTTTGCTTGACATGAAGATGGTATTTGTAGACTTAAATACACTAATTGGAAGGGAGACGGCGTTTAAACCCACTATTGGTGATCATAGCCTGCACAGCTGAACAAATGATAATGGAGAAGACTAATAAACTTCTCAGTATCCCGAGATCTCACCATTTTGTCCACATAAAACTATTCATATACTTAATGAAATATGGGAGATACTGACCCTGGTGGTTGACGTCTTTAAAATACATTTTAAAAAATCATGGGAGCTATCTGCAACATCAGCAGTAAAGCCGAACATTCATGGTTCCAAGCTTATGCTTTGCATTTGAAGTGATCAGCTTGGCGTCGTTTATTACAAACTTGCTTTAGCCCAACGAAACTATCACAGGAAATTGCTATAGACTACAACTGGTGTATTTGAGCCGAACCCTAAATCAATAGCGACCGCAATTCCAGCAGAGACAAGATAAGTTAATTTTACTGCATGATAACGCTCAACCTAATGTTGTAAACCCTGTTAAAACTCATTTAAGTAGTGGATAGCAATGGAAAATACTTTGAATATCTTGTGTATGACCATTTGGTATAAATAAAGTTTTCATTTTTATCAAAAAACTACAGGAACTTATCTACATACCCTATAAAAGTTCAGTGTCTTCAATGAGAGGGCCATTTCAAGAGGATGGATGACAAGAGCGGCTCAAATACTGTTTACATATGATATAGATGGGGTGTGCTTGAGATGTAGACCCAAAACTAGATGGCGGGACAAAGTTAGCGGTGACCTCCAAAATCAGGGAATAAATATCAACATGGTAGAAGATAGAGCCCAGTGGGAAAAGCTTGTTGGGTAGGCTACGGACAGCTATGTGTGTCTGTTGTGCCAATAGAAGAAATAATTCAGTATGAATAAGAATATAAAAATATCTAACAGCAAATAATTAATGGTGTATTATGAAACCAAAATATATAGCAGATGCAAAATTATTTTGAAATAAGTTTATTATGATAAATAAAATAACTCAACACACTAATGACTAACATTTCTACAGGGATCAATCAGAAAATAATTTAACATTGAATGAACTAAAAACAAATCTGAAATTAAATGAATATAGTGTAAATTTAAATATAAATGAGAAGGAATTAGTCGAGGGTGCGGTCAAAAAAAAAAAAATTAAAATTATTTATATATTTTAATTTTTTTTTTTTTGACCGCACCCTCGACTAATTCCTTCTCATATCATATCAACGGTCAACCATCTCTACATCATTTTAAATATAAATCTTCAATGTGATTCCAAAAGGGTCAGCTATGGAACTATTGAGCGGCATTCCACTGTACTATGAAGAGCATGGTCGGTAGTAACAAGAGGTTGGGTAACATCCTCCAGGCTATCTGCGCTCCTGCAAGCAAGATATGTCAGTAAGAAGACCATATCTCATGGCTAAAGATCTACATGGTATATAACGCCAACCGAAAGAAATATATGAGAATATTACTAGGGAAGTAGAAACATTCCAAGAACAATTTAGCTGCCTTAATGAAGAATTTTTGTAATTTTTATTCAGGGTAGAAGTTGTTCTTGCTTAAAGAAGAGGAACTTATAAGGTTTAAAGTATACTGAACTTAAGGATGATGTATAAAATCTCTAATAATGAATATGTATGTTTTAATACTGGGCGTTTTCAGGATTAAGAGGCCAAACTGCAAAAATAAACTAAGGATATCAAAACAAAAAAAAATTCCTCTGAAGTTATGCCCACAAACGCTTTGCTTAGGAGATATTCACACCTAAAGATTTTCGTTATTATGAATTATTTATGTTTTATGAAATAAATAAAACTTATTAATTTGTTCTAACTACTTTATTATTCAAATGTAAACATTAACATTCATATTAAATATTGTTCAAAGTGATGCATAGATTTTTTGTTTAATGTCACCCCAAACAAAAATATCCAGTGGTTTCAGATCCAGAGAGCTTGCAGGACATGGAACTAGTCCTGCACGGCCAATCCATTGATTGGGATATGGGATATGATTGTGCAAGTCCGGTCAATGACCTTAATTCCATACAAAGAAGGATAATTGAATCTTGTGAAACAATAACACATATCCAGTGCCGTTCTGCCACTGCTGCTGTTGAAGAAAGATGGCGAGTCTGTCTTAATGCTCAAGGAAATCACTTTGAACAACATTTAATATGAATGTTAATGTTTACATTTAATTAATAAAGCAGTTAAAACAAATAAATATGTTTCATTTATTTCATATAACGTAAATAATTCATAACAATGAAAATCTTTAGGTGTGAATATCTCCTAAACAAAGCGTTTGCGGACATAAAATCTTCAGAGGATTTTTTTTTATTGTTTTGAGGTCCTTAGTTCATTTTAGCAGCCTGGCCACTTAATCCTGAAACACCCTGTATATGTAAATAAATAACTGTAAAATACTAATGGAAATAATTATAATAAAAACAACTTACTTCAAGTATATCACTAAACTGTGACTCTCCGGGTTTCCCAAAGTTTATATACAAACATCTGATGGCATGCTTGGCTTGTTTTGGTGATCCTCTATCGATAAAGTCTTTGCATAAGGACACTAATCCATACTGCTCAGCCACTTCAGGAAAATGTAGAACTAGAATTTAAACCGCCCCCACCCCCAAATAGAACATTAATATGGTAAAAAATAAAATTGTTAGAAAGCATAATATATATAAAAAATCTCTTCTACTCACAGACAGGTTTGTACTTTCCTAGGAATGTTAATACTGAAAGAACCATAGGATCTTCTGTTTTAACTAAAGTTACCAAATGAGAAATAATGTCAGCATGAAAAAAATGTGATGGAAATACATATGCCAGCATCTGGAAACAAAAAAATTCTTTTAATATTTCAGGTTGTTTAAAACAGCTATTGCTTATAAAAAAATATTGTTTAAAACAGCTGCCCAAGTATTATTTGTTAAGTGAAACAATTTTTTACAATCCACATCATCAAAAACCTGCAAATGTGCATTTTTGTCATCATTTGGACAACTTTATTATCTTTAAGCCATAACTATTGAAGAAGGTTCCCAAAAACAAATTTTTTTTAAATAATGTGAAATTATTTGATACTGTAGCACATTAATTAGTTTGTCAAAGGCAAAATCTAACTGGAGTATCCTGAACAATTATAGTGATTGGTATTTAGAAATGAAAGTTTTTTAAGAAGTTTTTGGTTTTATGCAACTTTTGAGTGAGTTTCCATTGGTGTTATTATGTCCAGTACTATTTTCAACAATTAGAAACCCTTTCATCTGTCGTCAGTAACTATTCTCTATGGGACCAATTTTTTTTATATTTGGCACAAGTCACTGGTCATCCAAGAATGAACCCAGAAACTTGACTTTACCATCAGTCGTTTCGTTTCAAAATGGCAACCGAAAAACTTATGTTTCTGTAGATTGTAGACCCAAAATGGTTGCAACAATTTTGATGAAACATGACTAAAGTCACTTCCTTGAAGCTTCTTAAAAGTTCATAGAAGTGATAGCAGACCTCAAGAGCTACAAAAAAGTTTATATAAAAAGTGGTCCGATTTTCATAGAAAACTATGAAAATTTAAGCTAAGTTCTATTTTTAAAAAGTCATAAATTATTTATTCATGATTTTTTTTTTTTTTTTTTTTTTTTTTTTATTATCCTCATAACTATAATATAGATACCCCAAAATTAGAAATACTTTCTCATTTAATAAGCTGTAAATCCATATTAATTAAGTTGAGGATTATTAGGGAAAAATATTAGATTCACTAGAAGTTTTATTAAAAATTGATGATTTTATTTCCTATCACCTAAAAATACCCATGTTTTAAGCAAAAATGGCAACCAGGATTGTTGAAAGCTTTTTTTTTTTTTTTAAATTTATAAAATAATGATTTTTCAAATACTGTTCGCGTAAAGTGGTTATGAAACTGTGTTTTTCACAGTTTCACTATTATAGGAATAGATCCATATTTATAAGTGACAAATTAAACGTTCCTGATCCTAACAATTACATTTTCATGAAAATAATTAAAGCAATAAGCAGGTTTCTTTATTTTAAATGTAAATTTTAGGACTAGAAACATTTATATTATTAAATAATAAATGTATGAAATATATCTCTCTGAAAAGTTATTCTACAAATTGTCACCTTGTATAATCCAGTAGATAAATAGGGACAGATTCACGAAAATGAATATGCAATTTTGCTTTCTGTTCAGGAAGTGATTATTAAGTAAATATACTTTAATGAAATGTGTGTGATATATACTAATCATTGAAGTATATTTACAAAATAATTACTTTCTGAATCAGAGTCAAAACTGATATACCATACTATCATTCAAACCCCTTCATATACTACTGTAATAAATGTTTTGGATATATTTTAATGTATTTTACTTAATATATAGATTATCCTAAGTCAAGTTTGTAGTAGTAACCTACAGCTGTAATAGAAAATTAACAGTAAAATAGATTTTATTAAAAGTGATGTTTTGTCGACAATTTTGGATTTTAGAGCTATACATGAGAACTTTTAAATTTTAGAGAGCTCCTAGACTAACATTCATTAGTGTATGCTAAGACACCCTATTTGATTCTTTTATCTCCAATGGAACAGTAACCTTAAAATTTAGCTCTAAGCCACCTGACTAGGTTTGTTTTTGAGTGTTGCGTAATAAACAAATTTTGTGTTTTAATCATAGATATTTTATTTTGCTAATCCTATTATAGTTTGCAGATCCAAAACTTAGATTTATGTATAGATTACGCAGTTTTAAAAATAATATTAACCTGAAGGTAAAAGTGTTTCTAAAAACAATTGTCAAAATATTTTGTTATGTGGATTTTACAACAAATTTTGTTTAATTTGGCCAGACTTTTGATGAGGTACAAATATATAAGAAATGAGGTACAATCTCATTTAGCCCAGATTTGCAGGAGTCTGCTGTAATAAGATTTTTAAAAAAATGTTTCAAAGAACAAGTATACTAACCATAAGCATCTTTAAGCCCCTTTCACCAGCGGTATTAGGATGAAGACCAAGTTCTTCAATTAGATTGCCTCCATTCAAACAGTCTTCAACGTACCGTATTAAAACCTGTGCAACAGATCATATTAAAAATTTAAATATATAATTGTTTATTTTCATAATTTTTTTCTATTGCCAACTTTTTCTAGGTTATAATAAATAGAGTAGAAATCCTAAAATATTGTCTTTGAGGATGACTGTCAGTATGACGTCTGACATGAACTGCAAAGCATCAGCCTCAAAAACTAAATTTAAATTCAGATTACAAATAAGTTCAACAAAAAATAAATTGATATTTGCTTGAAATACTTATTTAGATATTAGAATCAAGTATGACCCAATTACCGTTCAGTGGGTAGTGCACTGGACCCCTGATATCTGAGTCAGGAGAGACCCTCTCGGAGCACGATGCTTCCATGAAGAGAGTTCCTGACACTTCATTGGGTTGGGGAATAATCTATAATTTGAGCATGTATACTGACACTTCACCTTCTAGTATTACTCAAGCAAAAAACAGAATTTTCTCGGCAACTATTGAACTTAAGAACCTTCAAAGATTGTAGTTGTACAGGATTATTAGAATCAAGTGGTATCATACTTGGTCAAATTATTGTTTGCATAATAAACAAATTATCATCTATCATTATCTATGAATAGTGAACAAAAATATAAATAAAGGATGTCCCGTGAATAATGGGAAATATTTATTTAAAGAGGTGATAGATTTCAAGAGTAACAAAAAAGTTCACATAGACCTTGGTACATTTCCATGCAGAAAATCAATAAATTGAATTTTTTAATTTGTCACAATTTCTGCTGAATAGGAACCTATAACTATAAAACAATTAAAAAAGTGGAAACCAAATGAGTATTAATGAGTTTTTAATACCTAATTAAATTAATGAGAAAACGCTCTATTTTTGAGAATTTTTATAGATAGAAAATTGATAGGTTGCGATAAGATGAAACCATTCACAAAGTTTTAGGCAGATGTTAATAATTTGATGAAAAGGGGTTGGTACAACGGACTATGGCCCGAGATAGACAGATGGCTGGTTAACATGTTCACTATGGTGTGATTCCTTTAATAACATAATGGATGAGTATAATATATATATATATATATATATATATATATATATATATATATATATATATATATATATATATATATATTTTAGTCAATCAACAGAAAACTGGTTTTCCCACATTAAATTTTATTAAGTTATTAAGTAAGTTAAAGTAAATTATTAAATTCTTGAACTTCATCAGAAGATAAAAAAGATTTTAAGTATAACGTGAAGGCTCACATATCCCACCCTGCAATGGTTAGGAGCATTAGAGTTATGCAAAACCAGCAAGATAACCTATCCTCTTCAGAGCTGGAAATTTCCTTCTTTTCTATTGTCAGGAACATCTTTCATTATAGCCGGAAATTTCTTCATCATTTCTTATCAAGGGGTATCGTCCGAAAAATCTTAAGCATTTATGGATTAAGTAATTACGAATTAAACTAATGAGTACAGCTCTTAATAGTGTAATGTAAACTTATTACAACCTATACTCATGTTGCACTTTTCATTTTATTTTATGCAAAGCATATTTGAAGTATAGAAAAAATAAATGAGAGCCATATACAGTGCAATTTTGGTTGATGGTTAATCTACAGTCAATTATATGCTTTTCCTATTTAAAAGGGCTTTTTTTATCCCTTTTTTTCCTGAAAATAATGGACTCTTACACTTTATCGAAGATTGTTGGGGATGGGTATACATTTTATATCACTTTAGAACACCTAAAACATAATAATGTGAGTTCTGGGAACATCTGATTATATATATATATATATATATATATATATATATATATATATATATATATATATATATTTATATACTTAGCCCGCGTTGATATATCAGCGCGGGCTAAGTCGCTTGCAATAGGTAAAAAAGTTAAGCAACGATGAGCATGGTTAGCACTTGGATGGGTGACCGTCCACCAGGGAAAGCCACGCTGGCCGACCCCCCCCCCTCGCTTAGTGAGGCCCATCAGGCCTACTGGAAGCAACTCACACCGACCGGGCGTATGACTGATGACCCTTCCCCCAGATACTTAAATCAGGAATTGGGATGTGGTCTAGAAGACCACATTCATGGACAAAGATCTACAAGGTATATAGAGAAAACAGAAAAAAAATGTACATAAAAAAAAAACCTGTAACACTATAACCCATTAAGGATTTTGGGTTCAGTACTATTTAGGGAAAGCACTGTTTCTAGGTCAACGATTGTGCAAGGAGGTGATTTACTCGAGATCATGCTCAACCGCCAGGTTTTCCCCCTTAATTAATTAATTAATTAAGGGTATCCGCTTTATAGAGGATGGGTGTGCCCCAGGAGGGTCACCCCACAGTCAATGAAACAGATAAATAATTAAATAAATAAATAATATTTATCTGTATATACACTGACAGGCAAAAAATTCCACCCACTTGATTTTTTCATGTTTTCATCTAAAAATATTTCTGCTTTGGATTGGTCTATTGTTTTTAATGAATAAATAGGTAATCTTTTTGTTTGTTTTCAATTAGGAATGTTAATATAGAGGACAATAACCCTTAATCCTTAATTCAATGAAATGATTCTAGATTCCAATGTTTACTTTCTATGGAATCAAAATGTTTATTCAGTATCATTAGTTCAGTGCCGTTTCTTGCAGCACATTTCTTAGTCTCTGGCTTTTAATTTTTTCAATATTAAGTTTAAAAATGCCTCTTAGTGCTGAGGATGTTGCGCGTGGTGTGGCACTTATTGATGATGGACGTTCTATTAGATATGCAGCTAATGCCATCGGAGTTCCATATGAAACTTTACGAGACGCCGTCAGGCGTTTTCGGGAAACTGGTTCTTACAATAGAAGGCCCGGTTCTGGACGGCCTAGGGTAACAGAACCACGGTATGACCGGTTTTTGACTTTGAGAATTTTACGAAACCGGCACCTTACCGTTGTTCAAGCGATTCATCAGCTCGAAGAAGTTCGAGGTGTGCAAATTTCTGAACGTACCGCTCGGAGAAGATTAAATGAGTATGGAATAATGGCTTTTCGTCCAGTAAGAGGACCAGAGTTGACCAGAACTCACAGAGTAACACGGCTGGCTTTTGCTCGAGAACACAGCCATTGGACTATGGACGAATGGAGTGCTGTACTTTTTACAGATGAGTCAAGATTCGCTCTTCGATCTCCAGACGGGCGTGAAAGGGTGTGGAGAAGAAGAAACGAAAGATATGCAGCCTGTAATTTTTCCCAGAGCCAACCTTTCCAACGTGGTTCCTTAATGGTGTGGGCTGGGATTTCAATGTAGCACCGCACAGAATTGGTTGTTGTTCATGGAGGGTCTTTGACGGCCATTCGCTATGTAGATGAGATTTTGGAACCTCATGTGTTGCCTATCCTCATCAAAATCGGCGATCGTTCTATTCTAATGCACGCCCACATGTTGCCCGCATAGTGCAGACGTTCCTTCAACAGAACAATATTGAGGTTTTAGCCTGGCCAGCACGTTCTCCAGATTTGAACCCCATTGAGCATTTATGGGTTAATCTCGGAAGACGAATAAGAGCGCGTGCAACACTTCCTGATACACTGCAGGACCTTGAAAGGGCTCTTCGGGAGGAATGGGCTATCCTCCAGCAAAGATATATTAAGAGGCATTTTTAAACTTAAAATTGAAAAAATTAAAAGACGGAGACTAAGAAAGCAGTGCTGCAAGGAAACGAAACTGAATTAATGATACTGAATATAACATTTCGATTCCATAGAAAGTAAACATTGGAATCTAGAATCATTTCATTGAATTAAGGATTAAGGGTTATTGTCCTCTATATTAACATTCCTAACTGAACAAACAAAAAGATTACCTATTTATTCATTAAAAACAATAGATCAATCCAAAGCAGAAATATTTTTAGATGAAAACATGAAAAAATCAAGTGGGTGTAATTTTTTGCCTGTCAGTGTGTATATATATATATATATATATATATATATATATATATATATATATATATATATAAAATCATTATTATTATTTTAACGAAGTCACATCAAATGGGCATTGTATTTAAATTGAGAGTTTGAGAAGTTCCATTTATACACCTTTTACCTAGTTTTTGAGGCTTTGCACAACTGTATGGCTCCTACAAATTAATTAAAAATTTAAAATAGGAGGTGAACATTTTGTAATAAGTTCCTTCTAAGCTATTAACTTTTTCTGCCGCCCTTCCGATAAATTACATTCGGGAAAAAAATAATAAAATGTTAAAAACAAAAAATCTTAAGGCAACATTCAGTCACATCTGCTTTCAAAAAAGAAAAAAAAAAAAAAAAAAAGCGAAAATATGACCTCAATATGATACAACCTGATGGCAATATGATACAAACTGATGGCAATTTGTTGGGATTTATTTATTTTTTAAATGTTTTAAACATTATTATAAAAGTTTTGTCAAAATGGTTGAATATTTTAAGTACATTGTTAAAAATAAGAATAATCCATATTTATAGATTTATTTGAGATAATTTGAGTATTTCATTAATTGTCTATTCTTATTAATATTATAGCATACTTTAATATTCGTGGGTAATATGAATAATTAGTAATATTTTCAAAGAACATAACATGATCATCAAAGAATATTTTAATATAAGTACAAGAATTGATCAAGTTATTAGAAAAGTGAAAAGATCTGAAAACAAATTATTCACATAAGAATTATTACTGAAAACATATTGACTGTTAAACATACAATTAAAAAAAAAGAAGAAGTAATTTAAGTAACAAATATTAGAATGATTTACCTTCAAAGCTTCATAATCAATCATCACTGAGGAAACCCTTTCCAATAACGTTTTGATGGTATTGTAATAAAGATTGGTCATTACTGGTTGTCCAAGTTTCTTTAATAACTGACCAGTGACTTCCATACATTCTTTACAAGAAACATCTGGCTTCACAATAAAATCAAGTCCTAAAATAATTGACTTTGAATTAGTAATTATTTATATAAACATTAAAACCTTTTCATAAAATTTCTAACATATTTACCATTAAAATATATATACTGGTAATAACTGACAAATTAAATATGTGTTTAAAAAATATAACCACGATAATATAAAAATTCAGTTTAAACATTAACAATAGATTAAACAAATATCTAACGAACAAGAAAGTTAAAATTAAAATTGAAAATAAACAAAATGCTATTTATAAAATCAATTGCAAGTAGTGAACAGATAAATTTTATACAGTGGAAACATCACAAAATTTACAGAATAAAATTAACACTAAAAAGCCAAAAAATAACAATACCACAGCATTATTAGGGTATAGTATTATGAATAGTCATTTATTTGATTATGATAAAATTGACATTATTGGTTGAAATTGTTAAAATAAGAAAATTTCTGGAATCAAAATATATAATTAAAAATGTTTAATTTGGAAAAATAGTTTCCGCAAAAACTGGCCGGATGCTCAGTGGAGACGGTAGGGTTAGCAAAAAAAAAAAAAATAAAAATAATAATCTTGTCAATTAATTATTAATAACTATCTAACAGGCGCCACGCTATTTAATTTGTTGAATTTGGAAAATAGCGAAAACCACAAAAATAAAAAAAAAGGGAAACATAAGGACCAACAAAAAAATTCATGATATTAAAAAAATAAATAAATAAAAGGTCAAACTCTACCAATCTCAATAAATTAAAAGCGTAAGGCTGATATATAGGTCTTTGCTCAAATTTATGTTTTTGTATTGTAATGTACACTTTTATTGGAAGTGAGTAAAAAGGGTTTAATAAATTAATGTTGAACAATTAAAAGGCAAGCTAATCTAGTTCTACTAGTGCAGGGAAAAGAAAATGGCTGCTCTGTAGTTTCTCAAGAAGGAAAATTCCAGAGAGGAGAGGGACAAAGGTTTTTGTTTTGGCAAGCAGTAGGTGTGTGGCTGTAGTGAAGAGAGCATAGGAGAAGGTATCCTGGCTCCAGTGGGTAAAACCTAATAATAGTATTATCACCTTGGAAGTTGTTGTTTGGCAGAGAGACTAGTTGTTAGGAATTACAAGAGAGAGGATCTCCCAGAGAGCTTGAGTTGAGTAAAAAAAATTGTCACTATTTCGGAAGTTGTGTTTGGCAGAACATTGGAAAGCATTTGAAGACAAATAAATTTAGGGCAACAAAGGAAGAAATATAATCTATAGAAAAAAGGTTAGCTTGCCAATTTTACTTGACTTTATTTTAAAATCAGTGTTTAATTTTAGTACAAATAGTGTAAATAATAATAGTTTGTCTGAGTTGATCTGATAGTCAGTAGCCCATACCTGAGATAGAATAATTGTAAATTTCAGTTAATTATATTAATATTCTTATAATTTTGTTTTTTATTTAACAACCTCTTATTTATTTTGGAAGTATCCCAACAGTATAAAATAATCTTCTGAGGTTAGATTATTATTATTTGTAAAATATAAGAGAAATGCTACAGTATGTACAGAATCATGATAAAATAATAATTTATAATAGTTTAAGAATTATAATAAATTAAAATCGGCATAAGACCTAAATAATATTAAAGACCACTTAATTATACAATGATACACTGAGTCTAATCAAAATCGTTGGAGCCGTTTTTGAGAAAATTGTATTCTTAATTCTTATTGTATGGGACTCGGTGTGCAATGTTCTGGGCATCACTATTCACTAAGCATGTTTATATCTATTTATATATTTTTTTCTTTTAATAATTATTTACTACTATAATTAAGTTTATCAACTGATTAATATCTGATAATAAGTTTTCTGAGATTTTGAAGTCTTCTTGAGATGTATATTATCAACAAATTTTTAAAAATGTACTGTTTCCCCGATTATTTATGAATAAATTGAATTTACGATGGAATATACTGAGGCCTAATTCACTACTATTTGAACTTTTCTTTAGTCCTTTAATGAATAGAAATGGTAGGCAGAGCAAAAAACTTCACATAAAGCTGTAACGCTGATAATGGGCGTGCTTTATAATACTTAGTCCTACAAGAATAACCAGAACTATTGTAATTACTAATCTTATAAAAAGTAAAGTAAGCACTTGAAGTAATTTTAAATTCAATGAATAGATTTCCTGTTCCGATAGGTGCAGACTTTTCGTTTTGATTGGGGGGGAGGGTGGCGATGGATCTCCTATAAAAAAAGTATCAGAGGTTTATATTATGAATGATAATCAACATGATTATTGTAAAACAAACAATATAATACTGTACAGGGTGTCCCGTAATATTTAAAAATATATTTAAAAGGTTTGGAAATATTTAAAAGGTTGATAGTAGACATCTACAAAAAAGTTCATAAAAACAATTGTCCAATTGCCTGCAGAAAAGTAGGAAATATAAGTTGTGTGTTTTATGTCACCCTTCAACTATACTACAGTTACCCCACTTTTAGAAAAACTTTCCCATTTCATAAGCCTTAAGTCCATATTAATAAAGTTGAGGATTATTAGGAAAAATTTTGAGATTTACTTTAAGTTGTGTAAAGAAATGATGTGAGTTTCAGCGCTGATGTAGTTGCTGTTACATCTAAAGCATATACCTATCTTAAATATGTAATATCAGTTTCATAAGACTTTTTGTTTTTGAGTTAGACTGCTAACATACACACACACAGACCATTTTTCGGGACTTGGTTATTTGGACTCAGGGTACCCCATCCCCATAACATCAATTTCTGTTGAAAACTCAGATTCAAAAATTTTCACTATCGCAATACTTACCCTTACTATATATTACATATATACGTAAGTAAAAGTATAAATGAGAGTTAATCTATTTTATGTTGTTGTAAAGTCTTTTTAGTAATATGGTAAACAATCAGAATTCTTCATTTTTATATTAGCTTGTGTTCGTTAATATATTTTCCCTTTCCTTAACATGAATCTTAATGACCAGTTTGTTTACCAAATTTTTAAGGTTTTTAATAATCAAATGTAAATTTAAGAACACTTCAAAACCTTTTTATTTTAAACTACTTTAATGCACTTTAACTCATTTCAACATTTGACCTTTTGGGCGATATTCATACATTTTCAAATCTATTAAAGCATATCTATAGTATTTATAACAATATTATTATTAGAGTTATTGTCTGGCCTTTAAAACATTGCCCTCATGATGAGCCACATGCTTGGGTTGGAATGTCGGCAAACTCAATAAATATCGACTGCATATCCAGACCATTTTTGCTCCTTATTATTGATGTATAAACATTTTTATATATCAATATGGATGGATCCCCGGTCATCATTGTCAACAAAAAGGAAGACATTGAATTGCTGGAATGAAATAGGTCTCACTATTCCCTCCAACCTGTTTTTCACGAATACCTTTTATTTTCATTTTCTTTTTTAAATATGTTATTGTTCTTTTTTGTTTTTATAGTTCACAATTATTTATTCTATTGCTTATTAAGTGTTTTTTTAAAAGATGAAATTTTCTTATTTTACTTTGAATCAGATTTTAATTTTTTCTATGCTTACCCTAATTTAAAGATGTCAAGTAAGATTTATATCAACATTATGTACATAATTTGTTATTATATCTCATTATGTAAGATTAAAAATGTGCCTACTCCATCAATATTAACACCCTTTTGTCACACTCCGCAGATTGTCCTTACCCTGACCTCTTCATGATTAATACCTTAATATCCTATCACGTTAACTCCCAATCCCTTCTAGCACATTATGACGAATTCCTCGATTATTTTCACCATAACTTCCATTATACCATAGCCGTTTCTGAAACTTGGCTCAAACCTGATATTCCCTCCCTATTCGTTTTCTTACCCAACTATACCCTCTTAGACCTGGACACTAACAAGCACCCTAGAAAAAAATGTTGAAAGATTTGAGAGGAAAATCCTCTACACGATAACCGGAGCAATCTGGGATCACAGTATTAACACATGGAGAAGAAAGACCAATAAAGAACTGCTTACAGAAACTGGTCAATCAATATCCTATGATCTGAAGGCACAGAGGTTAAGATGGATGGGGCATGTAGCTCGTAGCAATCCATCTAGAAGCCTCTACATAACAATGAATGCCTACATAGAAGAAAAAAAGACTACGTGGAAGGCCAAAAAGCAGATGGACAGATAGAATTAACCAAGATGTAATAGAGCTGCATGCAGATAAATGGAAAGAAATAGCTTAAGACAGGCAGAGATGGAGCAGGCTTGTTAAGAAAGATCTACATGGTCTGTAATGCAAAAAAAAAAAAATGTTATGAATTAAATAATTACCAACTAAACTAATGAGTACAGCTTGCTGTGATGTAAGATAAATTCTTATTGCAAGCTATACTCATGTTAGAATTTGTATTTTATTTTATGCAAAGCATATTTGAGTCCTGATATACACAAAATAAATGCAAACTGTAAACAGTGAAATCTCGGTAATCTGAGATGTATAACAAATAACCAACATTGAATTATTCACTTTTACTATTTTAAAAAACCCTTTTTAATCCAATCTTTTCTGAAAATAATAAACTCTTGTAACTTTATCGAATATCCTTAAAGGGAGTGAATACATTTTTATCTTTTTCAGAACCCCTAGGACAAAATTATGAGAGTACTAGAAATTTTTGAACAATATATTCATTATTATTTTTAAGGGAGTCCCTTTAGATCAAATAAGCTTCAAATTTAAATTGAGTTAAAGTTTGAGAAGTGATTTTTGGTAAATGGCCGCAACTACAGCTCAATACGTGTATCGCTCTGTGTTTGTTACCATGTCATCTGCCTAATTCTGAAAATATAGCTGCTACGAATTGTAAACAGTGAGTTTGTGAACATTTGAACACTTTCACATTGAAATAGTGAGGTGAGAGACTTTATTAACAATTAACTAGTTATAAGCTGACACCAATTTGGAAGAGACGGAACAGCTGATTGGTAATTCCCCTAATG